TTTCTTCCAAGACCATCAAAAGTCTGTTTCCGCCACTGCTCCCACAACACTGGAAGATGGCTTGGCAGTGGAGACTGGTGGTTCCCATGTCAGAGGGGCTGTGTATCCCCAGCACCTGCAGAGAAATCAGTCTGCATTCCAACACTTCTGTCCATGGTGCTGCACCTGTCCTCAGCTATTGTGCCGCACCACGCCAGTAGGTTCAGCACCATGGATAGCTCCACGTAGTTCAGACTGCAGTCCACACCGACATTGGCACCACCAGCCTCTGTTGCTGATTGGCATCCCAGTAGATGATGGTGCTTGGTCCAGGCATCCTTGGGCCTTTGCCAAATTCTCTCCTTCCGTTGATGTGTCCCCCAAAGGCTTCATGTGCTTTCAGCTGGGAGAGCTGGTCTGCCCCCTAAAACACTGCATGAGGCTTTGCTTCAGCCCTGCCTGCAAAGTCTAGAGCCACACCGTTTTTATACAGAGTGACATAAACCCTGGATGTGCTCAGAAGCTTTTCCTGCAGGTGCTACTTCTCCTGCAGAACAAAACCATGGCAGATTCCAGGACTAAAATGCAGTGAGCCAAAGGAAGCTGCACTCTCTTCTCCCCCCATCCTCATCCCATAGCTGTGTCCAATAAATGCCAGTCACAGGGAACTGGTTCTTAATGGCTGGCAACAAAAGACTTGAGACTGGGTTTTTCCCTTCCCCTCAGTAGATAGTCATTTATTTTCTTCTTTAAGAAAAAAGGGGGGAAAGCCAGCCCTTAATGTTCCTCTACATCTATTATTCAACATTTTTGAGCCAATAATGAGATCTAAAACTGACCTTTAGGATTTTCTGAGCTTTACCTTTGATCTAGGAGACCATCATTATCTTTGCCCCTTAAGTTATGCAAGGCAGCACTCAAGCTCTCAGCACCATTTTGCTGGGGCTGTACCATTTAGGGAGGAGAGGCGATACAGACATGAAAGAGAGATATTCTAGTGCCTGGAAGGGGGGATTTAAATAACAACTCCCCCTCATTTGTACGTACGCATGTGTGTGTGCACACACACATACACACACAAACTTACAGTACATTTTATGAGCAAAGGTGATGTGCCACATTGGAAAGGTTGTTCTGTTTGAGCTCAACTGACTTTCAGTTCATTTTTGTCCTGACAGCCAAAGTGAGCTTACTCTTGGTAGTTTTGGATTATGTGAAAATGAGAACCACAAATTGGGGCTGATTTGTTAGATCTGAATCCTTGTTCTTGCTGTAGCATTTAACAGAAGCATCTTCCTCTCACAGCAAATGAACACAGACCTCCTTGGCCACCTTGAAATTTTGGATAGTTATTGTCAGATTTGGGTGACATTTGGACCTCTGTTCTGCAATTTGGAGTGGAATCCCACAGTCTGCACAAATGGTGCAATGTGTGTTGGTTGGTTTTTAAAGTATGTAATTCACAGCCCATTTTGAAAATATGCACATGCTGACTCAACTTGTACCTGATGGAATCATCACCAGTACAGGTTTAAGAGAGTGACATCCACTGGGCCAAGCTAAGAGAATCTGCTGGATTTTCATCCCACCTATGTGAAACCCGGTAATTTCAGACCCTGGATTTATGGTCTTATTGGAAAGGGGTTAATTTAGATGGCCTTGTATGTCGCTTCACTTTCAAAGCACACGGCTAACATGCTTCTCCTCCTTCTAGCCCCACCACCCCAGCCATGTTCCATCCTTTACACCTGCTTCTGCATTTCTGACAGGCTGGAGCAAAACCCAAAGAAAGACAAAACTGTGTGCCAGCCCTGAAAAAAAAAAGAAAAGAGAAAGACATACTCTGCAGACATGCAGTTTTGCATTTTAAAATCACCTAAATCATGGTTTTGGAACAAATCAACCTTTCTTTCTAATGCCCTGATGCTAAAAACATGTACTTGGAAATAAGCACCACTTTGTATAGAAAAGGTAATATATCTCAAAATTTAAAATATTAAAAAAGAGTATCTGCACATGTCCAGCTGGCCATCGAAGGGGTTCTCCTTTGGACTTCCCTTGGTCTGTGAGGCCCCGCCCTTTACTTCAGGACCCATGCCCATGACTGTTCTCCTGCAAACAAAGCTGCATAATGGCACTGTTGTACTCTTATGCATCTACCCTTCCTATCAGTGGGGCCTGTGCAGAAGAAATATCCCATGGATCATACCTCAGCAATCCAAACAGCTTAGCTTTCATCCTGACACCTTCAAGAGCTCCTATGGTCAGGTTCCCTCCAATTAACAGAGCAGAGGAATATGGGAAGCCACCTTAGACTTAGTCCAGCCCTGGGCCCATCTAGGGTTGGATTTTTGGCACTGACTGGCAGTGGTTTCAGGCAGGGATTTTCCATCTCTACCTGGAGAGAATGGAACCAGAACCTGGGTCCTTCCTCTAACCCTGAACTAGATGGATGAGCCACCTGGGACACTGGGCATGCCATGCGCCACTTTGCATCCCAACAGCAAGTAAGATTGGCCTTCAGACAGATTCTGAGCCATGACATGTTGTCCCTCTAACATTGGCTATTGGCCCTTGTGTGACATGGTGGTTTCAAAAAAGTTAGAAATTGTAGCCTGCTTTTTGTTCCCGTAAAGCTCAGTAAAGCTCTCAAAGGTCCTTAGAGAGGCCACTTTCTGCCTCAGCTGCCCATTTGCCATGATGGAATCTTCATGCCCTGCAGTGTGGGGCAGAGGTAAAGGGGTGGGGCCAAAATACGAACACTTTTTAGCTTCCCAATCTTGTTGCCAATAACAAAGCCATACAAGGCCCATTGCTGAAAGGGAACTCTTCAAATGCTGGGAAGCCACCAAATGATCAGCAGTTGGAGGAATGGGGCTGGAACTAGGGAAAGGAGGCTGGATCTGGGCACCAGAAGGTTTCCCACACCTACTTCAACATAATGGGTACCTTCACTTCCCTAGCCTCATCAGTCCTACTTTGAGCAAGCCAGTGTCAAGGTTTGGCATGTGTGTGTGTGTGTGGTAAAGATGTATGGACTTTGTAAAATCCATTTGGTTTGTGTTGTACAGTTTTCATTCCAACATCCACTCACTGACAGAACTAGATCTCACATGAATTTATGCAACTTTGCTCTTAATGCAAATCTGTACTTCTAAAAATGCTCGAAACCTCCCCAATTGCACACTTTCATGCTTTAGTCTATAGGGGGAAATGGGCATTTTGGAACGGCTTGAATCTGATGCAGATTTCTCTGACATTCCTAATGCAGGCAGGTCGTGGTGAGGTTATGTATAGGTGCTGACTTGGGGCTTGAAGTTAGCATATACAGATCACTCCTGATAGACATTATAAAACAGTGTTAAGAAAGTAGATAAAGATAAGTTTTTCTCTCCCTTTCATGGTACTAGAACCCATGTAGTTGAAATTATAACCACCAACTTAAATCAGTTTAAAATGATAAACTCACAGCCAACCATAACTGTTAAATAGTGCAAGTGCAAACACATCCAGATATCTTAAAAGCCAATTCTTATTCCCATGCTCAGGGAATTGCTAGCATGGAAGGCACCATCTACTATCTTGGAACAGAGGCTGTGATGACTGTTATCAAAGTCACACAGAATTCACTTAAGGGACTCAGTGCAGGCATTTAGGCATGGAAGAACACAGGAAATGAAAGAAGCTACCTTATATCGGATCAAATGACTCATCTCACTAGAGCAAGTTTCCCCAAATTTTGGGGTGCGGTTGGCACAATTGGAATTTGGAGGTACAATGAGTTCTGTCACAAAATGGTTATCAGAGTGGGCATAGCTAGTTATAACATGCCCATTTCCCAGCAGGAAAACTGAGGAGGCTGAAAGAAAAGCAAGGTAGCTCCAGAATCTAAGTAGAATGCAGAGCAGTGGGGAGACTGAGCTCTCAAACACAAAGCCACTTTTTAACTGACAGTTTTCTCTTCCAACAGTTATTTCACAGAAAGCAAAAAGATGTTGCTTACAGACAAGTAACTTGGCCAAGAAACCAAGAACAAGGCAGAGAAGGAGGCTGTGCCTAAATGCCAAATCACACATTTGTCCCCACAAAGCACAACAAAATACAGATTTCAGAGGAGACAGACTAAGTCAGTTAAAACACTTTTAATTGCTAACATCTAACAATTTATTTTTTAAAATCAGGTAGAAAGCCTGGCAGATGCCAAGAAAGGTGTCTGTGGGCGCACAGGTCCTTGGGAGCACCATGTTGGAGATCCCAGATCTAGGGGAGCATGGTAAGCTGCCTTTTATTGAGCCAGGCTCTTGGCCAATCCTGGCCAGTATTGTTGACACTGACTGGTAGCAGCAGCTCTCCAGGGTTTCAGGAAGAATACTTTCCCAGCCCTACCTGGAGAAACCATGGATTGAGCCTGGCACTTTCTAATGCAAAGCAAGGTTCTTCCTCCGAGGCACAGTCTTGTCTCATGAGAAAAGAGAAGAACATGGAAACGGTCTTCTCCTATTGGTCTACTCAATTCAGTATTGCCTACACGGACTGTCAATGGCTCCCCAGGGTTTCTGGCAGAAGTCTTTTCCAGCATCATGTGCTGTGCAAGCGGAGATGCCAAACTGGGTTTCTCCTGCACGTAAACTATGATCTCTATCTTTGGGATTGTCCCCCCAAAGAACATAGAACTGATGTTTCCACTCCTTTAGACTTGCCTGTCTCATTCTGAACAATCCCATGACTGGAGGCAGCACTGACTCTGTGCCTTCTTTTCACAGGTTACTTGTCTCACCTTGGCAGCACTTGCTTTCTCTGATAAGATGGAATTGTTTACTGCAAGCCAGAGGTGGTCAACTTCAGGACCTCCAGAAGTTCTGGCCTACAACTCCCATCATCCCTTAAAATTGGCTATGCTTCCCAAATAATGTGGGTTGTAGGCCAAAACATCTAGAGGTTCAAAAGTACCCAATCCCTCCTGTGAACCTAGTCTGGGAAAGGAAGGAAGGAAGGAAGGAAGGAAAGACACTTGTACTTACGTGAGTACAAAACCTCTCTGGAGGATTCCCGCAAGTGATGCCTGATGGGTCTACCCTCACAGTGGCATAGTCCTTCATGGGTACAGATTTTGGCTGGCAGGCATAAAATTCCCACATTGGGCCATCGTCAGTGGTCACCCAGGATTTGCAGATGTCATACTGTCCCATAACCAGTGGGAGGCAGTGCAGTAAGAAAGCGGCGTGGTGCAGCATGGTAGACAAGACCTCACACGAGGTTCCTGGTCAAAGGAAATGCCCAAAGTCTTATTCAAGGCAGACACTGGTTTAGGGGAGGTTCTCTGGATCAGCATGGACACTCCACATCTAATACAAACACTGTACACTAGGTGGTCCAGATGGTGGTGGAGGTGATGGGTCTCCAGCTGTTGACGTATGTTTAGGCAACAGGAAATCTGCAGGTGGTTTTGTCTGAAGAATGTGGCTTACTCTTTCCACGGTTGCTCTTCAGCAGCCCAAAGTCTTCCATAAGTTCATGTTTTCTTGTTTTGTTTTTTTGGTGCATAAACAATCTTCCAAATCAGCATGAAAGTATCTAGAGGTGACTCTCTTCAGTCAATCAATAGAGCTCTCAGGTTCTGACTGTGTGATGAAATTTGACCCATTGGAAGAGGAGGCGGGTAGAAACCAGAGAGGTGATGCAGTGCAACTGAGATCAAGTTTTCTCCAACCTTTTCCTGTCTGCTACAATGTGAGCCATTCTAAAGTGCTCAGAAGCTGAAGTATGTTTATTTGGGGGGGCTGAGAAAATAGTTTATGTAAAAAAAATAGAATAGTCACATGATACAGAACTCTGAAAGCATATGAATCAAATCTTTGGAAAGATAATTTTTAAATGATTTGTTTAACGTAAGTTTGACTTGGCAATTCTTGTCATTTTATTTGATTTTTTTTTAAAAAATAGGCTCATGGATTTTTTCTCCTATGTGCTTCTTTTTGTCTGAAGAGGAGGGAGGCACTCAGAGAGAGCAATCACTGCCTTTTGACAACTTTAACACAAAATATTTGAAAGCTTTTCTCTGTAGACTACTAATGTCCTGAGATCCTGCTTTTCCTTGAGCACCTTCATGTACCTGGAACATTGTTTTGAAAAAAAAAATCTAATTAGATGGAAGGGAATAAAAAGAATGATAAATAGAAATATCAGCTAAAGAGAGAACCTCATGGGATATTATGAATTCTTTCAGAAGTTCTGAAAACGTGGCTGTTAGAATTGTGCAAAAGTTTGTTTGTTTGTTTTCTCTCTGACCAGTCAAACTTGTGTTCTTATTAACACAATGATTAGAAGAACAAATATAGCTCCTTATAAATCTAAAGGAGAACCATGAACAGGCGTGGAAGCTTGCCAGCCAAACAGAAATCTTTAAACAACAAGCCAGAGAAAAAGCCAGGCAGCCAGACAACCAGAGACACAGTTCAACTTCCACATGGAAGATTTATTTAAACAAAGAGATATATCATTATTATTATTATTATTATTATTATTATTATTATTAAAAATGGAAAAATGAATCACATTTAAGGCTTTTCCAATAAAGAAAGAGCAGTCACCTCTCCTGGAGTTCACTGGAGTTTAATCCAACCTCCCTGTAATTTTTCCAATTGAGCAATTCTTTAAAAAAACAAAAACAAACAAAGCAACCACCTTCAATCACAGGTAGAAATGATCTGTAGCCAGATCTGAAACTGTTCCTCACACCACAAATAGTTGTGTTTTTAAGACTGAAAAATAAACCTTTCTCTTCCTTTTCACTCCACAACTTTCACCCTATTAAAAGTCTCCTTGACTAACTCTTCCCTTGAGGCTAAGTGGCCAGCACAGATACAAGATTACTCCAACTACATCCACACTCCGGTGGGGGGGGGGGGGGGGGACTGTACACCTATTTATGTGCACTTCTTGTCTCCCCTTTAGCAAAATAAAAGTCTAAATGTGAACCTGATTAAGATACTCAATTTCTGAAGGTAAGATCCATCTTTCCTGCTCTTAGCTCTTTAGAGGCACCCCTCTGAACTGCCTTGGCTCAGAATAAGCCCCCAAGAAAGCAAAGTCTGGTTGCTATTTTTGGAGTAATGAGCAAAGTAGGGTGGAGATAAAGGAATCACTTTGGAAGCCTCACTGACATCAGGCTGGTCTTCTTCAATTTATTTTTTAAATGATCACTTCCTTAACACATCAAATGTGTCAGGTGCTCTTATGATGTAAATAGCATAAGAGTAGTAAGGGCTTTGTCACACAAAACTCCCACATTTGGTTAGGGGTAGGTTTGGCAGGGGAAGAAGATTACGCCAATCTGACAAGTCTATTTTCAGAAACAGAAAATACATTTTGCAGTGAGCACTTTGACAGAAAAAGAAAGTTAAGGAGGAAGACAGCTATAAAATACCCGTTGCTATGCCGTTCCACAATTCCCTCACCCCAAGAAAACACAATGAAAACTGATCTAGGCTGTTACCCATGGAAAAGCAAAGTGGCCTCCATCAGCTGAACATCACAGGTGTTTTCTGTGGAAATAGTTGCCTTTTTAATTTAAAAATTCTGAATTAAAGGTTTGGCTTCCTTTCCCACAGCAAAAAAATAAATCTTCAGCTGATATTATTAAGAAACTGCACTTCCCAGGAACGGGCAGAATCAATGGCTTGATTTTCTTTTAAGAGTGCACAGCAATCATAAGGGACTGATAGCCAACCTCACAAAATTAGATTTTATCTGGGTATCTGGACTCAGTTCTTTTCTCCTTTATTGGATTAACATGCTTTTGAAATAAAGAGGCAACCCACAGTTACAACACCCTGCTGGGGAATTAAGAAGTAAACCTGTTTGTTCACTTTGCAATTAAATGCAGTCTTTCCCAGAAGTGGTACTTTTAACAAAAAAGGGGGAGTGGAGCACAGTTTGCACAGGAACTGGTGTTTTGTAAACTGCGGAGTGGAAAGAATAACCCCTTTCAGTTGTATCCTTCTCCTCTTGCAACTGATAACGTTATTTCAATTCATTTTCAAAAGTTTACAAATAGATGTTAAGGTTGCAATGCCACACACACTTACCCAGGAGTAAACCCTATCGAAGTCAGTGAGGGTCACCTTAAAGAGGACACCCCTAGGACCATGCTGGAACTGTGTTCTGTAGAACTAATACAGACACCATGAAAATGTTGAACCTCTCCAGGAAGAAATTCTAATTCCAGATAGTTCAGTATTTTCCCACCTTAAATCCATCTCCTTTTTATAAACATTCTTTACCCTAAGACATTTCAAGGACTCCAGTAAGAAAGCAGAGAATGATGTAGCGCATGTAATATGAGGGTCTCTCTTACTTCTTACCACCTTGTTTCTGGGGTATTTGAATCAATAGGATTAGGGGAAAGTTAGGTTGCCTTTCAGCAGAACGAAAAGGGACGTGGAAAGGTGTCCAAGGAGCTGGATTGCACAGGTTTTTTAAAGCTAGGACCTATGTGAAAAGAGCATGGTTTCTGGAGAGGCAAAGTAAGCCACTTGAAAATGAAAGCCAGAACAGCAAAATGGACTGGGGATCATGGCCTTGCATCCTGTGTCAGAGAGGGAAACTGCAGGCATAGCAAACTGCAGGAGAGTGGTTTCATTCCAGAAAGTTACTGTGCAAACAATCAATATCAACATGAGTTGTTTGTCCAGGTAGGTTTACATCTCCCTGTTGGTCCTCGCAATTTTGCAAACAGCAGCACAATTGCTATACCGTTCAAAGGGACTTACTCCCAGGTAAGCGGATACACAGGGCTGCACCTCACTCTGCTGATGGACTGTGTGCATGTGTTGTGTGGCGGTGGGGGTGGATCTGAGCTCTAAACACCCTTTCCCTCACAATCAGTCTGCAGAAAATAATGATCTAATCTGCTGCTAAGCATATGCATGAAAAAGTGATTCAGTGAATACACTCCAGTCACACACACCGAAGAAAAAAAGGAAGGAAGGAAGGAAGGAAGGAAGGATGCTATCAGCAGGCTGAACTGAAAGGTGGTTATTCATTTCCTGTTAGAATTTATCCTTTCCTACTGTGAATATTAAAATCGAATTATATATATTAGGAGGGGTAAGCGTTGGGTAGTCCAGTCCAAGAGGAGCAAGGAAGACGGAAGGTTTCAAGAAATGTGGGGCTTGGGGCGGGATGCAAGGAGAGACCTGTACGGAATGCCGTACAAATCTCTTTGGCCGCTGAGCGCCTTTTGCCCGGCAGCAAAAAGTCATCCTTCCCCGGGAAGTCAGCTGCGGGTACCGAGAAGGGTCAGTAAAATCACGGAGGTGGCCCCCTCCCCCCACGCACGGGAAGCGCAGATATGCACAGCGTGCCCCTCGGTTTTGGAAACCGTGCCACCCAGAGAAACGAAAAGAAAGGAGGCGCGCGGGGGGGGGGGGGCATCGCGGCGAGAACGCCAAGCCGAGGCGCCTGCGGCACCTCCAGCCGGAGGAGTGTTAGGTAACTTTTCCCTCCCGGTGCTGAGCAACGGCACGGCGGCCGCCGAGGGGGACCTCCCGCCTGGCAGCTCCGGCGCGGCTTCCCGGCCCGGCGGTGCTGAAGGACAGCGCCCGGCGGCGGCCCCTCCGCGAGGGCGCGCGGGGTCCCCTCCCGCGGCGGCCGGAGCGCGGCGGCGAGGGAGGGGGAGATCGGCGCGGCTTACCGGGGGCTCGCTGGCGGATCCTCGGTCCGGCGCAGTGACGGAGCGGATGGAGGCCGAGGCGAGGGAGCGCCCGGCTTCGGGCGGGCGCGGCGGGGCGGTCTGCTCCGGGCGCCAGGCAGGAAGGGCTCTTCCCCGCTGCCCAGGCGGGAGCCAGGCGCGTCCTGGCACCCGCCTGCTCGCTCCCTCGGCGGCAGTGGGGGTGGCCTGCCGCCCCACGTACAAAGTTGTTGAAGAAACAAACCGTCCGGGAAAAGCAGGCGGAAAGAGACTGACGAGATGCCTTCCTTCCCTCTCTTCTCCCCCTACTTCTCTTTTCTATCCTTCACTTCTTTCTTTCCTTCCTCCTCCTTCCTAACTTTCTTCTTTCGTTCCCCTTTCCTTACTTCCTACTTTCCTTTTCTGTCTGGCTTTCTTTCTTTGGACTTCCCTTCCTTCTATTTTCGCCTTCCTTCCTACCTTCCTTTGCTCTCCTCCCTCCTCCTTTCCTTCCTTCTCTCCCGCCCTTTCCTCGGGCTTCCAAAGTAGGGGGAGATCTCGGGA